GGTTCTTTTGACAGAGGCTTGACTTCTTGTCCTTTGTTACGATGTTTCTAAGAACAGCTTTTACAAAGAAGTAATAGGTGAACTGCCTTATCTAATAAAGGATTTGAAATTGTGTCCAGCCAGTTCTGTGCCTCATTTTCCCTCTTAACCGCCTGCTGCCTCCAAAAACCTTTTTATTTCCCCCTCTTTTGTACATACTGACTTTGAAGCTGACCTCCTCTCTTCTCTTCTGGCATTTTATGTTCATTTCAGCTTATGTCATCCCTGCACCTGTCCTACTTCTCTCTTAATAGATATCCCACAATATAGATTCTAAAAACTTGACCTTACTTATCTTATACTCTAATACAGCTTTTAATAACAAGGGTGCCATGGCCCCCTGCTGCCCCCGTAAGGGGCGCCTCGTAATTTTCACACAGTGTCATGCCTTTCCATGGTGCAGGCGGGTTGGCCAGACTCCAAGATGGAAGGGAATGACGCTAATAAAGGCCGGGAGGGATCCATTCAAAACCATGGAAGTTTGCCTCCATCCAGACCTGTTCTGCATCCTGCCCTCTGCCATGCTGCCACAGACGTGACTCCTAATGTGAAGGGGTGGGGCTTTGATGTTACGGGGGGCTTCTGATGTGAAGAAGGGCTTCTGATGTGAAAGAGGAGGACTCTGATGTGAAGACATGGACTATGATATGAAGAGGGGACTATGATGTAAAAGGGGAACTCTAATGTGAAAAATTAGGACTCTGATGTGACGGGGCTCTGTTGTGAAAGAGGGGGTCTCTGATGTACAGGGAAGCCTTCTGAGGTAAAGGGGGGACTATGATGTGAAAGAGTGGGACTCGGATGTGAAAGGTGTACTATGATGTGAAGGATGGGAACTCTGATGTGAAGAGGGGACTATGACGTGAAAGAGGGGGACTATGATGTAAAGGAGGGACTATGATGTGAAAGAGGGGGGCTACCATGTGAAGGGGGAATTATGATGTGAAAAATGGAAACTTTGATCTGAAGGGTGTTGGGGGTCTATGGAATGAAAGAGGGGGACCCTGATGTGAAGAGGGGACTATGGTTTGAAAGAGTGGACTATAATGTGAAGGGAGGCTTCTGGTGTGAAGGGGAGGCTTATGATGTGAAAGAGAGGAACTTTGATGTGAAGGGGTTCTATGGTATGGTACTCTGATGTGCAGGGGGGACTTTGGTTTGAAAGAGTGGACTATGATGTGAGGGGAGGCTTCTGATGTGAAAGAGAGGAACTCTGATGTGAAGGGGGGCTTGAGATGTGATAGAAAGGGACTCTGATGTAAAGGGGGGGCTTCAGATGTGAAAGAGGGGGACTTTGATATGAAGGGGGCTTCAGGTGTGAAAGAGGGAGACTCTGATGTGAAGGGGCTTCTGATGTGGAAGAGGGGCTATGGTGTGAAAGAGAGGGACTCTAATGTGAAGGGGCTTCTGATGTGGAAGAGGGGCTATGGTGTGAAAGAAGGGGACCTTGATGTGAAGGGGGCTCTGATGTGAATGGGGGGTTTTGGATATAAAGGGGGCTCTGATGTGAATGGGGGGATTTGGATGTAAGGAGGGGGACTGGGGTGTTAAGTTTTTCGAGCATTGTAGACTGGGGTGTCAAGATTTTGCATACTTTTAAAGAGTGCTATAGCTGAAAAGAGATTGGGAAACTCTGTTCTAATAACCCGATGCCATTCCACAGACTTTCTACCCTACTGCTCTATTCATGGATGTCTGCCACAACATCATATGCTTCACAAATCCTGTCTCACTTACCGTATACCTTCTCCACCTGCTCATTACAGCACAGCTAACCTGATTCTAATATTATGATATAATAGGTGTGCAGCACTCGCCAACGAAGGAGGCGCCAGAATAACCCGGGTCATCACTAGTTTGTCTAGAGGTTTTGGGCTTGAGCTGCGCCATTAGCACTAACCGCCCTCTTCTAGTGCCCACAAAGCTCACATCCAAGCCAGAAGTTGAATGCTGAATAACTTTTATTAACATCTGCACACTGGGGAGAGAGGGTATAGGAACCCTAGACATTCAGGTTGGTACAGACATAGACACCAGACTCACTGGACCCTTTTCAGCATCTTAGTGTAGATAAATTTGTAGCTCAGCAAACAGAAATTTGAGTAGCAGATGAGCAGGGATGCGCACAGATCCTCAGCAGGGGAGACACCAGACTTGCTCCCGAGGTCCACTATGTTCCTGTCACCTCCAGCAGCCATCAGCTTCCCTGGTTCTCCTCCTCTGACAACAGCACAGGCCTCCTCCAATACTTGAGGACAAGCGAAACACTTCCCACACTCCAGCATCCCCACGGCCAGGCTTGGGGGGTAGGCTGGACAGCCCCCCAACCTGGACTAATCCATGGCTGGTCCCATACTGAGCACATGGCAAATCTCTGGAGTATATGTACCCTATCCCAGCATCAGTGGCAGAACAATCGCCATAGTGACCCATATTCTGACTCCAATCGTTGTGATAGCGAAATATATCCCTTGCTGAGACCTCAACATAGTTTTCTCTGAGCTTCTCTGTTGGTTTTATGGTACGTTTGGGTCTCACACTCTGTTCGGCAATATCTGCAGAATCTGCGCCCTGTACGTCTGCGGGTTCAGGGGCATGATGTATCTGCACACACAGGAAGAAGGGTGGGGCAGAGGGGCATACATAGACTGGAAATATGTCGTCACATGGGGAACAGAAATACAGAAAAGACATGTGTGATATCACAAAGGCCACTAGATGGCAGCATAGGATAACACATGAATTTAGCTAATATTAACTGAGGCTATGCATCTCATATTCTATGCCCCTATTGGGGCGGCACAACCCAGGCGGCCGCTATGGGACCCGGGGCACAGGGGGCCCCGGCCAGGACATCACCCTGATACCGTGCAGGTCATTATGGAATCTCAAGCTGCTGGCAGTCACTGGCGGCTGTGAGGAGGAACGCACCGCTGTTAACATCACGGATAACCTGTCAGTGATGTGTGTAGCGGCACGTTTCTCCTCACAGCCGCTGCTGAGTCAGTGACAGACATCAGCAGCAGCTGCGGAGGAGGCTGGGCCAAGCGTCAGAGGAGGCGGGGTCCGTCAGCGACCGTGGAGGAGGAGGTGGACAGCGGATCAGGGCTGACAGGTAAGAGGGTTTGACCAGCCCACCTGAAACCCTGCAGAGCTCGCCATAGAGAGTCTATGGTGGGCTCTGCAGGGTCACTCTCAGGTGGGCTGTTTGGGTTATCAGGTGGGCTCCCCGCCCAGCCGCTGCACAGTCTGCATTACAGCCTGATGGTGCTGTACACATCACTGCCAGCACAATACTTTGCTTCACTCCGGCGCCATCTGCCAAACATGACCATAGAGTTGAATGGGACCGCACATGTGCAAATGTGGTTGTGGTGCAGTAGTTCCATGGACATTCCCCTTGGGATACAAGAAAAAACAGCATTCAGGAGGCAGCAGTATCCCCTACAGAATGCTGGGCAGTCACTGCTCTACTGCACTAATTATTACTATTATTATTATACAGGATTTATATAGCGCCAATAGTTTGCGCAGCGCTTTACAATATAAGGAAGACATTACAATTCAAGACAAGATGGTAAGGAGGGCCCTGCCCGTGGGAGCTTACAATTTTAAAAGGTAGGGGAAAGTGATACATGAGGTCAGAGGCTGGCATTGTGATATGGCTGCTGGTATGAGCTGTGGAGTTCACAGTGCCAATGTACTGATCACAGCGCATCACACTGGTTACTTTCTTTTCAACTTTATTGAAATGTTACGAGCAGGGATTCACCGATACTGCTATCAGTGCCGATACAGAGTATTTGGGTGAATACTCGCCTAAATGCTCCGATACTTATCTCCGATACTGGAACTTCCGGTCAGCGGAAGATTTCCTCTGACCGGCAGTGCCACAAGGGAACATGGAGCCGGCTTCCCGGCCAATCAAGAAGCCGGGAGGCAGGTCATTACGGGCTCCAGGGGGGGTCAGTGCGGGCTCCAGGGGGGTCAGTGCGGGCTCCAGGGGATCAATGTGGGCTACGGGGGGGGGGTCAGTGTACCATGAACGCATTGGATCACATAAACAAAGGCTACCCACGTTCTGGGGCATGGTTGCAGCATTCATGTCAATGGCACCGCAGATACGCCTCCTGCACGGTAACGTGTGGTACAGCAATGCCCTGCGTTCCAGTACGGTGTGATCGCAAAAAAGTGCATGCACAATTTTTTGCAATCGGAAAGTGTGGGCAATCGCACTGCGGGTGGGAGGCGTGTCTGTGGTGCCATTGACATGAAAAGCACCACCACGCCCCTGAACGCAGGAGTTTATGTGATTCAGTGCGTTCATGGCACGGAACTGTGACGTGAACGCATTGGATAGTGTGAAAGGGGCCTTACTGCAGCGTGTTGAGAAGCAGTATAGGTCGTCATAAAATAGTGCATGTCCTACTTTTTTTAGGGCACCCAACACCGCACCCCACCCAACACTGCGCATTATTCTTTGAGGGCCCATTCACAGCAGCCGCTGCGCTAAATCGCACAGCAGCTGGTATGTGGTCCCCGGAACATCGCGCTGTTCATTCAGTTCTACAGGCACTGCAGGGTGTGAGGCAGTTGTACTGCAATGCATCCCGCTGTGCAGAAAAAAAGGTCTTGCATGCCGTACTTTTTGTCAGCGCACACCAACCCGGTGGTGTCCATCCATGTCATGACAAGGAACATTGCCTTTTCTTGCATTGGGGCTGCGCTGGAAAAAAGGGCCAGCACAGCCACAGTGCATCTGCTGTGAATGGGCCTTCACACTGCACGTTATCTGCTGGAATGAGGGTTAACTAAAGAGAAGTACAGCGGATGTACACTAGGTGGCGAGACATACGGGTCCCTCTAATGTGCCATCCTAAGCAACATGGCCCTGTGACGTCAGGGCAGCGCGGTAAACACGAGGATTATCGCGCTATGCCACCATTCTGTAAAGTCGAAGCCACGCCCCTCCCGCTCACTTCCGGGCTGCCTTCGTAACAATGGAGAAGATGGCGGAGTGAAGGTTTCTCTGGGCGTAGGAGCCGGAAAAGATTGAACACCGGAGTTAGCGGACTCTCCTCGCGGTATGTACGCTGAGAGATGTTCAGGGGAGCTCGGTGGACCGGGCAGATATTTTTTGTATTAGGTGGGGAGAGGTACAGCTAGGCCGCGGTAGGGTGTGAAGTTGCGAGATAAACAGTACGAGATGTCGAGGCTTTGCTTTATTGCGGTAGGCCCGAGTTCTTGGGAGCGGGATTCCTGGGGCTGGGCCGGCCGGAGAGGTGTTGTCGCCGACATTAGCAAAATCACGTCTGAGCTTCGGTGTATGTGCAGTGAGGGCCGTCGATGATATAATGGACGTCGTGAGAGAGAGGAAGAGCGGGGATGGCGGACATTGGGGTTCATCTCACGGCTCTTCTGTGATTAGGTTTTGTGTATGTGTGTGATTCGGGATGACAGGGGAGATCGGCTCTCCTATAAACAGGCTGTGTGTGTGTGACCCGGGCTTAAAAGGGAGATCGGGTCGTCCCGGAGCCCTATCATGCTTGGGCTCTGTGTATGGGGATCCCGGAGATCGGCTCATCCCAGGGCTCTCCTGTATACAGGCTATGTGTGAGATCCGGGCTTATAGGGGAGATCGGCCCGCCCTGGGGCTCCTGTTGTCCGATCCTGTGTGTGTCTATATCCTGATGCGATGTTGGAGCAATGTCCGGACATGATGGTAGAATGTAAGAGGGTCGGTCTGTCCTGCTCACAATCACTGCAGAATGTTTCCTAAGCAACCCAGCGGTGCCCGGACTGGACATACAGTTTTGTAGGAGGTGATGGTGTGATTGGTATACATTAGATATAGGCTGGTCCATTACCTAGTAAACTGACTGATACAAGAGCTCTGCAGTGCTGGTAGGAGCAGATAGATATTTTTTTCCCCCCAGGATTGTGCTGGAAGAAAGGTGTGCCCATAGCATCCAGATCATTTTCACTGATCTCTACAGCCGAGTGATACACAAATAAGGAACATTTTTATCAAAGAGGAACCTATACCGTTTTTTCTGTATCGAGTACCAATATTTCCGTTGCTGATACCGCAAGTCCCATCAAGGAAGCTGGGCGGCGTGTAATGACTCGAACCCTGTTTTCCCGATTAGCCGAAAAGCCGTCTCTATGCTCCCTCGTCACTAGGTGACAAGGAAGCATGGAGCCGGCTTTCTGGCCAATCAGGAAGCCAGAGGGCGGGTAATGACTCGCCGTCCGGCTTCCTTATTTCCCAGCTTGCCGACCAATCAGGAAGCTATGTGGCGAGTCATTACACGCCTCCCAGCTTGCCGACCAATCAGGAAGCTATGTGGCGAGTCATTACACGCCTCCCAGCTTCTTGATTGGCTGTCAAGCTGACTCCATGCTCCCTCGTCAGCAAGTGACAAGGGATCATGGAGCTGGCTTCCCGGGCAATATAATGACTCGCCGCCTGGCTTCCTGATAACAGACGTGTTGGGTTAGGCAACGGGAGCATTTGGACGAGTACGACTACCCGCCCAAATACTCGGCATCGGTGCATCCCTAAGAGGAACTTCAAAATAACAACAAAGGCACCTTTAGAAATGTTTAGTAATGACAATCAACAAACCGATCTGGATAATTGCTGGCTTTGTATTCTTTGCATACCTTATTTTACTTCCCCAGTCTTCTGACAGTGGCCATTTTTTTTACTAAGGGCAGGTTACTATATCATCTTTACCTCCTGGATTTCTGGCACATGTGACTAGGACATGTGATCATGCACATCATCTCGGGGGGGGGGGGGGGGGGGGGGTTCTTGTGCTGTTTTTT